TCCTTCCTTCGTCCTTCCTTCCCCGTCTGCCCTTGCTGTTCGCATCCTTCTCCCCCTACCTTTTCTCTTTCCTGCTACCCCCTCCATCCTCATCCTCCATCCTCCATCCTCAATCCTCCACCCTCCTCCACCCTCCTCCATCCTCCTCCTCCTCCACATCCACCACCTCCTCCTGCTCCTCCATCTTCCACCTCCTCGTCCTCGTCCTCGTCCTCCTCCTCATCCTCATCCTCTTCCTCCTCAAACGCATTCCCAAACATCGGAATGAGACAACATCCAGATCAGATGGACCACACATCCCAAATGAGGGTCGAATCTCAACCTTTTGGCAGGCTCTTGTGCCCCCTGAATCTCCCAGACCTCTCCCGGGCCGCGTTCTGACCCACGTCTCGAGGCGGACCCAGCCGTGGCGACGAGGACCCTCCAGGAGGAGCCCCTGGGGCTACTATTCTGGGGGGTGGCCCACGTGGCAGGACAAGGCGAAGCGGGATAAGAAGGACAAGAAGCCCAAGAAGAAGAAGAAGAAGAAGAAATCATCCAGCAGCTCGAGTTCGAGCGATACCGAGTTGCAGATTGAGGCATGCGAAAAATTCGAGAGGCACCGCAAAACGTGCCAGATGCACTGCCAGCATGCACACGAGCAGGAGAAGGCCAAGGAATACGGGCGCTACGGACAAATCCCTGCGGGCGCAATCCGTCCGCAGCTTCAGGCAGCTCTGCTAGAGGGCGAAGAGAGCTGGCTCTGGCGAGAGCCCTGCCTCCGTCCGCAGCTTCAGACAGCTTTGCCAGAGGGCGAAGACAGCTGGCTCTGAGGAGAAGCGATAGGGGAGGAGGCAGAAATAGGAGGAGGAGATGGAGGAGGAGGAGGAGGAGGAGGAGGAGGAAGAGGAGGAGAAGGAGGAGGAGGAGGTTGAGGAGGAGGAGGAGGAGGATGGCGAGAGCCCTGCCAGGCATGGGGGACTCTTCCCGCGCTGCTTCCCGCGGCCGGCCTCGGCGCCCGCCGCCGGGGGCTGGGGCGGCAGAGGAGCCGCCCGAAGAAGTCCCGCCGAGCTCACGCTCGAAGGATTGCAAAAAAACGAAGGATTGCAAAAAAACGAAGGATTGCAATCCTTCCATGGGTTTTTTTGCAATCCGGGTTTTTTTTGCAATCGCGGCGCGCCCTCCTCGAGGCGGCTGTGGGCCCCCACGTGGTCAGGCTCGCGGGCGGCACGCAGAAGCACAGCAGGGAGGCGCTCGAGGCGCCTGGAACAATCCGAAGGTCGCTAAGGAGATCGACACCATCATCGAGACCCCCGGCGGCAGCGTCGCGGTGCCCCAGAGCAAGGGCGCGCGCCTCAGCACGCTTTTCTCGATTGTTCAGGAGTATGGGCTGAGATGGTATCGTGAGCAGTCTTACTACATCAGTGGTTGCGGCTACCAGTCGGAGCTCTTCGTTATCACCTCGATTGCTTTGCGCATGCGCGTCAGACTACCGGTGTACAGCCTGCTCCTGTATCTCTGGTTCGGGTGCCAAGCTGGCGAATGGAAAGCGCAACGAGAGCATCGATAGTATCTTCACCGAATTGGGATGGACATGCTATGGGCTGGTTCTTCCAGATACATGGGATGGAGCTCAGATAATATTGGGTATCGGACGGGCTCAACCACTCTAGCGCGGATTACTCCCAATGGTGAAATCAGCACCTCCACGGAAGTGGTAAACAGTGGAATGTCGAGTATGTCACCATGGATGATGGGGAGAACTCTCAAACTTGCAGTCAACATGGGTAGTTTCTGGAGCCTGTTTTTTCGTTTTCCGGGATAGCGGCCGTCATCGGCCCCGCCCCCCCCCCCCCAGATGACGCCACGCTCCGCGCTGGCTTCGTCCAGGAATGCCTAGGGATGACCGAGGCCTAGTAGGAGCAGCATGTCAGTGGCGATCTGCCCCACAGCGTCTGTGTACACCACAGTGCTCGCGTGCACCACAGCGCGCGTGTACATCACAGCACATGTGTACACCGCAACAGCCGTGTGCAACGCAGCGCCTGTGTACATCAGTGCTTGCGTACACCACAGAGTCTGCGTACACCACAGCGAATGTGTACACCGCAGCAACCATGTGCAACACAACGCCCGTGTACCCCACAATGCCTGCGTGCACCACAGCGCCTGTGCACACCACAGCGCCTGTTTACACCACAGTGTCCGCGTGCAACGCAGCGCCGGTGTACACCACAGTGCCTGCGTGCACAGAACAGGTAGAAGGAGCATGTAGGTGAGGATCGGCTGGGGACAGCTCCACGCCAGGGAAGTGCTGATAATAGAATGCGCTGTTCTTTCCTCCTCCCTCCTCCTCCACCTCCACCTCCTCCTCCTCCTCCTCCTCCTCCTCCTCCTCCTCCTGCTCCTCCTCCTCCTCCTCTTAGGCCTACCTTTTTCTTCACGCATGCGATGTATCTAGGATTCTAACGAACCACTCGTCGTTGTACACACCGAGAGCCTGGCCCTGTAGTCAGGTGAGTGGTCTTACAAAGCACTCATTTGTGATTCCGGTCATTTGTAATTCCGGTCATTTCCAATTCCGGCCACGAATTGCAAATGAGAGGTGCCGACGGGAAGGCATGTGCTCAAGCGCTACGCCCAACGTGTCTCCAAGGCGTCAGGACGCAGCTTCTGCTTACGCTTGTAAAAGATCAAAAGAATAACGGCAACAGCAACGTCGTCGCCGTTCCGTGTGACACGCAAAATTTGCGTGTCACGTCTATACGCGACACGCAAATCCTGCGTGTCGCGTCGCCCGGCCGCCCCGAGCGCGTTCCGGGTGACACGCAGGATTTGCGTGTCACGTTTACTTACGCGACGCCGCCCCGAGCGCGTTCCGTGTGACGTGACACGCAGGATTGCCGAGGGGTGCCGAGGGGTGCCGAGGAGTGCCGAGGAGTGCCGAGGAGTGCCGAAGAGTGCCGAGGAGCGCCGATGGAGTGGGGCGGTTCTCGAGGTCACCCTGCGCGGCGTTCTCGAGGTGACACGCAGATTCTGCATGTCCCGGCCCTGGCCCCCGGCCTCTGGACCTCCGGGAGCGCCACGGTCCCCGGCCCTTGACCCCCTCCTGCTGGGACCCGCGTGACACGCAGATTCTGCGTGTCCAGACCCCGGCCCCCAGGACACCCGGCGCGCGACACGCAGATTTTGCGTGTCCGCCCCCCTGGTGGGGCCCGCGTGACACGCAAATTCCGCGTGTCCCCACCCCGGCCTCCGGGACACCCGGCGTGCCACGCGCAGATTTTGCGTGTCCGCCCCCCTTGCGGAGCCCGTGACACGCAGATTCTGCGTGTCCCCACCCCGGCCCCCGGACCCCCGGCGTGCGACACGCAGATTTTGGGCCCGCGTGACACGCAGATTCTGCGTGTCCCCACCCCGGCCCCCAGGACCCCTGGCGTGCGACATGCAGATTTTGCGTGACCGCCCCACTGGTGGGGCCCGCGTGACACGCAGATTCTGCGTCCCCACCCCGGCCCCCGGACCCCTGGCGTGCGACACGCAGGCTTTGCGTGTCCGCCCCCGTAATTCTGCGTGTCCCGCCCCAGGCACGCTCCGTGTGACACGCAGATTTTGCGTGTCACGTGTACGCGACACGCAGGATTTTGCGTGTCACGTCTACGCGTGCCCGATCGAGGATGGCGCGCCTCAGATCCAGACTCGGGCGCGCGGTCGAATGCATTTGCCCTGGGGCCTCCGGGGCCTAACAAGCGCGTTCATTTCTAATTCCGGTCATTTGCAATTCCGGCCACGAATTAGAAATGAAGCGCGCCGAAGGGGCGGCGGAGGCCACGTGCAGCACACGAATTAGAAATGAGCACTCTGTAGGACGGCTGAGGCGGAGGGCCCTGCCTGCAAGAGATGGGTACACATGTTGCCCTCGATCGGCAACGTCTGGTACTCGGCGCTGATGAATAGATCGATCATGGCTCCAAATGTGCACGGCTACCAACCTGGTAGGAAGAGGGAGACCCCCATGCTGGTTTCCGCTATCTTGGCGCGGAGAGCTCAGCGGGAGGGGCGTACTTTTTGTAGGCAGTACTTCGATGCAACTAACGCGTTCGGGAGCATCTCACAGAGTAGGCTAAAGCTAGCAGCAGCAGAGCTCTTTGATGGGGGGCACTGTCCCCATGGGGCTCCAGAGGGTGGATCGGGCCATGCCGTGCGAATTCGGTTCGATGCTTTTGCGGCCGGGCTGTGGCGGGATGATGGGGGGCCCTTTTCATGGTGTCGAATGAGCGTGTCAGAAAACACTGGAGGTTGTGCTCGCTCGAGGCTGAACTTCGGGTTCGACGCCTGAAGAGATTGCAAGCCATCGCGAAACGACCTGAGAGGCACAGACAATGGAGAGCAGCACATGTCGGGGTCATGAATTGGGAGCGGGGAGAGACGATGACGGAGGACGGGAGGCTCACTGAGAACGCGAACCCGTGGGCTCGGAGGGTGCTAGAGGACTTGAAGGCTCTGCTCGCTGTGGTGGATGCGGAGTCGTTCTTGTCGGAGTTTCGTATTACAGCTGAAACGGATCCTGCACATGATACGCACGCTTATCTTAGTGATATATTGTGCTGGACGGAGGCGAGGCAAGATTTTATGAAAGTGGATGTGGGGCCCCTGAGGGCTCAAGATGTTCAAAAAATGCCTTCTGATGGAGAAGGGGGAAGACATGATAATGGAGGAGGATGAGATGGAAATTGGAAGTGTTTCGTCAACTTAGAGTGGATTCCAGGAGAGGGCTGTTCGGCGTCGTTCGATTCGAGTAGAGCCCTGCCGATTCATTTTCAGCGCGTACATCGTACGACGGACGTGAAAGCTTCGATCGTGGTGACTAACAAGTGTCCGTACTGTGGGGATTTATTTCATACCATCAAGCTGCCTATCGTCATGTGATATCTAAACGAGCTCGGCCTGACAGAATTACAAAAAAACATTATCTTAACCCTAGTATGCAGCATGCGTCGCTTGCTTGTCCGGTGTGCGAGCAGTCGGCTCAACATTTACCTGACCTTCATCTCCATCTTGTTTCTCACGCTCCAATGCACGCACATGTCCCTCGAGGAGCCGAAGTGGGCGCTCCAAAGGGGCGCGGGCGGCCAGCAGGAGCGAGAGCGCAAGAGGCTGCTGACGGACCCGGGCGCCAACGTCGGGGCAGGCTCCAAGGCACAGCTGCTCGAGGGGGTGATCAAGGTGCTGGCGGCCTTGGCGCTGACGCAAGCCGCGGAGCTCCGCGATCTGACCGCAGCCGTGTACCTCACCTGCCTCATCCCCGCCGCCGCGTCGATCGCGAAGGCGATGAAGGAGGCGGGCCGCGACCACGCACAGGCCAAGCGCAGCAATGAAGGAGGCGCTGGAAGCAGTCCTGGAGGCCACGACATCTTGGGCCCACCTTTTTCTACATGGATTCAAGACCATGGTCACGGCGGCGTACGGCGTCGCAGGATTGCCTGAGAAGAGCCACACGGTCATCGAGAGTTTCTGGAAGGAGCAGGTCCTCCAGCGGGACCTCCAGGACTTGGCCGAGCAGATTCGTCATTGTCGTATCAAGGATACCCGCAAGAGGGAGAATCAGGCGGAGGTGGCGCGCATCACGACTTGCGTCAGTGCCCAGTGGACGGAATTGCAGGAGGCGGCCGTGGAGGCGCTGAAGACGGAGCAGGGCATCCTGAAGGTGGGGCCTCCGCCTCGGGGTCCTCTTGAGCGGGAGGCGCCGAAGCTGCTGGAGGAGCTCGACAAAATGTGAGACCTGTCAGGCGAGACGTTGGCAGTACTGAGCCTGAGGTGAGGAGAGTAGCAGCTCGGCTCGAGGTTTTTTCTGTGAGAATGGCTGGCCTGCTTTTGAACTGGAGTATCACCCCTGGTTCTGCACTAACGTCTTTAAGACGGCAAGAAGGCAGTGTAAGGCCGCAAGCCGTCAGCAAAGGAAAGGCCGCAAGCCGTCAGCAAAGGAAAAGGACGGGGGCGGGGTACGACTGGGAGTGGGCGGGGGGGGGTGTAATGAGGCTGGCGGCTTGTGCTATCGAGCCCACGCGTGGGCCATCCATGAACAGTGGCGCTCGCAGGCCAGTCGCTGGATTCCCAGCGCAGGGTGCCTGTCGGACGTCGTCCGTTGGCGCGAGCTCGTGCCTCACCGATGCCATGGCCTGCGAAGACAGAGAGACATGTGGCGCCAATGGTGCTCTTATCTTAGACGATCCTCCTCCGCCTCCTCCTCCTCCTTCTCCCTCACCCTTCCTCCCGTCGTGCGGGTCGGCGCTACAGCGCACGTGCGCATCTCAGCGTGCACCGCAGAAGGTCTGCTGAATCAATCCCCTTGGTTTTCGGACGGCCAATTCTGCTGGAGCCTCCTGGACGCAGACGTGAGGAGTTAGGATGGTGCGGGAAGACTCGGGAGGATTCGTAGATTCCAGCGGCGCTCCTGTTTCCATTAAGATCCCTTTCCCAATCCTATGTAGAAAAATTGTTTTCTGCAGGATCCACAGGCGCTCCATTTGATCATGAGGATTCCTTCTAAAATTCGATCTGCAACTATGATGCTATGTTGCACACGATTGCTGTGGTGCATACAGGCGCCGTGGTGTACACAGGCGATGTGGTGCACGCAGGCACTGTGGTGTACACAGGTGCTGTGTTGCACACGGCTGATGTGGTGTACGCAGGCGCTGTGGTGCACTCAAGCGGTGTGGCACACGCAGGCAAAATGGCACACTCTGGCGCTGTGTTGCACGCGGCTGCTGTGGTGAACATAGGCGGTGTGGTGTACACAGGCGCTGTGGTGCACGTAGGCACTGTGGTGTACACAGGCGCTGTGGAAGAGATCGCCACCTACACGCTGCTGCGACCCGTCCTCGGTCATTCCTAGGCATTCCCAGACGCCGCCAGCGCGAAACGTGACGTCATCGGCCCCCTCCCCCCTCCCCCCCCAGATGACGGCCATCACCGGCCCAGAGTTTAAAAAAACAGGCTCCTGGCGGTGAGTACTCGAGATAGGAGGCGCATGCAACATGAGGCTGAGTGAGTGGTTGCCCTCATTGAGTGCTGCCCTCTTGTTTCCAGCAGTTCCCCGGAGGGTCAACAGCTATTTTTCGTACAGTCGTCCCGGCTCCGAGCTGCTTCGGCGTACGGGCGCTGAAGTCTGAGCCGCTGGCCCCATGGGAGTCACAGAGATGGGTGTGCGAATGGTCCTTGCCAAAAAACCTGCACTTACGTCACAGGTAACAACAGCATAAACAAAAACAACAACAACAACAACAGCAACAACAACAACAACAACAAACAAACAAACAAACAAACAAACAAACAAACAAACAAACAAACAAACAACAACACCACCAACAACAACAGCAACAACAACAACAAAGACAACAACAACGACGACGACGAAAACGACGACGACGACGACAACGACAACAGCAACAACAATAACAACAACAACAACAATCATTGTAAGACTGTGCGCCCTTATCTGCTCGAGTGTCCAATAACGCCTGTTTCCCAAACCCTCGATACCCGCCCTCTTCGTCTTCGATCGAACCCCTTTTGGGAGGTATACTTTTCTTCCCTGCAGGCCGGGCCACTGCAAGCGGCGGGGCGGCCGCGGACCGTCGGCCTGGCCAGCGGCACCGCTGATCGGCGGGGCGGCAGCGGACCGTCGACCCGACCCCAAGAGGGACGGACAGGGGACCGACCACGACGACGACGACGACGACGTCGACGACGACGACGACGGCGACGACGGCGACGAGCGAAAGCGAGAGCGAAAGAGAAAGACAGCAGGGCCACAAGGACACGAAGTAGGCCACTAAGGGCAACAGCTGGTACACGAAGGGAATGCGTATGGGGCCACGAAGAGCGCGAACGAGCGGGGGCCACGAAGGGCAGATAATGCGGGGCCACAGAAGGCAACGATGGGGCCACTGAGGGTAGCAACTGGGCCACGCAGGACAGATGCATATGGGGCTCCCACGGGCGCGAACGAGCGGGGGCCACGAAGGGCATACATATATGGGACCACGAAGGGCAGCGAGGGGGCCACGAAGAGATGCAACGGGGCCACGAGGGGCAGCGAGGGGGCCACGAAGGGCTGCAACGGGGCCACGAAGGGCTGCGACGGGGCAACGAAGGGCAGCAAGGGGGCCACGAAGGGCTGCAATGGGGCCACGAAACAAAGCGAGGGGGGCACGAAGGACTGCAACGGGGCCACGAAGGGCAGCGAGGAGGCCACGAGGGGCTGCAACGTGGCCACGAGGGCAGCGAGTGGGCCACGAAGCGCTGCAACGGGGCCACGAAACAAAGCGAGGGGGGCACGAAGGGCCCCGATTCCTATGTAATCTGTGAGGGAATCCTACGCGTGAGCGCGACTCCTGGGTGCCTGGGTGTCGGGAGCGCGGCGCTTGAGTAAATTGAAAGAAGTTCCAACGCAAGGGCTCGATTCATCAGTAAATTGCAAGCAAGTCTCCAGCGAGAGCGCGACTCCAGAGCGCTGGGATAATAAATTCGAAGGAAGTCCCAAGCAAGAGAGCAAGTCTTGAATAAAACGCAAGGGAGTCTCGGGCGGGAGCGGGTGTCCTGGCTAAATTGTGAGGAAATATCAGGCGGGAGCCGTTGTTGTTGTTGTTGTAAACCGGGGGCCAACGACACAGTTTGACGCTCAAGACTTTCCCTGATAAAAAACAGGGTGCGAGCCCCGGGAAAAGGCACTCCAATCGAAAAAAAGCAATGTGCACCGGACGGGGGGGATCAACAAACTGTTCTTCAGAAGTGAGAGTTCAGCAACAACAACAACAACAACAACAACAACAGCAACAACAGCAACAAAGACAACAACAACAACAACAACAACAACAACCATTTTAAGGCTGTACGCTCTTACTTGCCCGCGAGTCATTCAACACGTATACCCTACACCCTCGATACCCGCCCTCTTCGTCTTCGATCACACCCCTTTCGGGGGGATTATTTCTCTTTGCTGGGGCCGGCGGGCTTAGACGTACGGGCAAACCGGAACGGGCGGACAATCCTTCGGGGGCGTACATCTCTCTGCCCGCCATTGGAATTGGCGCGGGCCCTGCAAGAGGAGGAGGGGAAGAACGAGGGAGAGTGGGAGGAAGGGGAGGGGGAAGGACGAAGGAAGAGGGAAGATACCACGTTGTGAAGGCGTCCTTGGCGCGTGCGTGGTTCCTGAGCGCCGAAACGCAATTCCAGAATAATTTGTGAGGACGTCGCACGCGAGAGCGCAGTCCTGAGTACATTGTGAGGAAATCTCAGGCGGAAGCGGGGGCCCTGACTAAGTTGCGAGGAAGTCTCAAGCGGGAGCGCCGTTCCTGAGCAAATTGCACGGAAGTCTCAGGCGGGAGCGGGGATCCTCACTAAATTACGAGGAAGTCTCAAGCGGGAGCGCCGTTCCTAAGTCAATTGCGCGGAAATGTCAGGCAGGAGCGGGGGTCCTGAGTAAAATTCGAAGAAGTCTCAGGCGGGAGCGCCGTTCCCACGTAAATTGCACGGAAGTCTCAGGCGGGAGCGGGGGTCTTGATTACATTGCGAGGAAGTCTCAGACGGGAGCGCCTTTCCTGAGTAAATTGCGCGGAAGTCTCAGGCGGGAGCGGGGGTCCTGAGTAAAAATCGAGGAAGTCTCAGGCGGGAGCCGTTGTTGTTGTAGCCCGGGGGGCAGGGGCACAGTTTGAGCAGGAAGACTTTCCTTGAGAAAAAACAAGGTGCGAGCCCCGGGGGTGGCACTTCAATCGAAAAAAATCAATGTGCACCGGTGGGGGGGATCAACAATAATTATTCTTCAAGAATGAGAGTTCAACAACAACAACAACAACAACAACCACCAACAACAACAACAACAACAACAACAACAACAACAACAACAACAACAACAACAACAACAACAACAACAACAACAACAACAACAACAACAACAACAACAACAACAACAACAACAACAACAACAACAACAACAACAACAAACAAACAACAACAACAACAACTACAACAACAACAACAACAACAACAACAACAACAGCAGCAGCAACAACAACAACAACAACAACAAAGACAACAGCAACAGCAACAGCAACAGCAACAGCAACAGCAACAGCAACAACAGCAACAACAACAACAACAACGGCTCCCGCCTGACACTGTCTCTATTTACACGGAAGAATCGCCCTCTCGCTCGTACTGGGGACCCGCGCTCTCGCACGAGACGTCCTCACAATTGACTCAAGCCTCGTACTCTCGCCTGAGACTTCTACAGAACTCACGGAAATCACTTCAATGCCCAGCCCGCCCGACCCGCCCGTTAGGGCCGGCCCGCCCGATCTGCCCGTTTGTCCGCTGCCCCCGCGACCGGCCCCACGACCACGCCCGCGACCCACCCACGACCCACCCGCGACCATTCCGCGACCCATCCGCAACGCACCCATGACCCGCAGCCGCGACCCACGCTCACGACCTGCCCACACTGCATTGAACATCAAACGCCACCCGCGGCGGGCCGGGGCCGCGGAGAGGAGAAGCCAGCGCCCGCGCAGGCCTGTTCACACTGGCCGTCGAGCCTCGCGACCCCGCGGACGCACCGCCCCGCGACCCGCCCACCTTGCGCTGCCGACAAACACTAGCAGGGGATATGTCGACCCCTATCCCAGGCTTCGTGGGGCTCTGAATGGACCAGACGTTTGGTGCCCCAACCCTGGAATGTACGATGGGGGGCGTCCATCCTCGATAAACGTGCGCCCGAATAGCCTGCGATAAAAGGCGCCCACGGAGGGCCGACCGCTGGGACAAAAAAAACAAAGAGCGCCCGCGGCGAGCTCCGCGACACTGGCGCTCGAGCCCCGCAGGCCCCCGCAAAAGGCAGCCCAGGCGCCCCCTCACACTCGTGTCTGCAATTGCGGCAGGGGTGAAGTAGGTGTACATGCCCTGATTCGGCGGCGAGCGAGGGGGGGAAGGGAGAAGAATAAGACCTTCTCAGAGGCGGCGGGGCTTCTCAGAAGGCCTCCGGCCTTCTGAGACGTGCGCTGCATCTTCGGAGAATGGGCTTCGTAAACTCCTCAAAAGGCCGGGGGACTTCCGAGCCTTCTGAGAAGGCCCGCCCCCCCCCACTTCTGCCCCAGGCAGGCCGCCGACTGATGCTGGAACCGGGGCGGGCCTTGGCTTAGGTCGGGCATGTCCCCCATACAGGCGGATATGGGACGAACAAATAAAAATAGTCAAAACATACCCCAAAAAAGAATCCAAAAAAACGTAGAAGAATCGCCCCCGGTGTACTTTTGTTGACTATGTTATAATATTCCTCCTGTAGAGGGACATGCCCGACTTAAGCCTTGGCAGGATCAACGCACGCACGTCGAACCCGAAAGTCTCCCGAAGTCTCTGGAGGTCCCAAGAGGTCCCCTGAACGCAGACCCAAAGTACACCAGACCGTATAACATCTGATCCCCGAACATGGATACTCGAACCTCTCACCTTAGGTCGAGCATGTCCTCCTACAAGGGTATTTCAGACGAAAAACAAAAATAAAACAAATAAAATGGTCACCAAAATACTCGTAACATTGTCCCCTGATTATGTTTGAACTATGTTTGGATATTCCTTCTGTAGAGGGACATGCCAGATTTAATTAACTCCAACCGCCCTCCGCCTCCGAGCGGGGCCGTGGGAGAAGCCAAAAGATACCCATACCGCCACTCCCCAAACCCCTCCCCAGGCGCTGTCTGGCCAGGACCTCGAGGAGTCCCCCAACAAGGGCAAGAACGCGGGCGGGGCATCCGTGCTGGTTTGATCGTATCCCCTGCGGCTCTGAGAGGCAACGATCAGAGAAGACTGGCTCAGCGGCGGGGGGACATCGACCTGGAATCGGCGGTACATCGCCGATCGATCGGCGATAGGCCCCCATTGACGAACCCGCACGCTCCTCTGCGGGGTGGGGCTATCAGACCCTTATCGGTGATCAATGGGCGATCGGAGGTCGGTGCAGCCACCCCTGAGCCGATCCCCCCTCACGTTGCGCCTTGGCTTTCGGGCCATACCTCGACTCTCCAACGGCCGCTCGGGACGGTCCGGCGCCCGCAGAAAGCTCTCGGCGAGGCACAGTCGCTGGAAGGCGCCCCGAGGCCGGATCACCGCCGAGCACCGACGAAAGCGCCCGAGAACCTCGAACAGCTCGAGGCCCCCCCCGTGAACCTCAAAAATATCCCCTCCCGTACACCCTGCGAAATGCTTAAGAAATCATGGGTTAAGAAATTCATAGTCTCAGAACTTGAATAAAAACCCAACAGCTCTATTACAATATTAAGATTTGCATTGGAACATTAAGAATAATCGAGACTCTGGCCGAAAACTTAAGTTTTCTTAAGCATCGCCTAAGGTGTACTTTGCTCCCGGGGCTCCGGGCGCGGGGCGGGCGCGGCGGCAACGGCCCGCGCGCCGGGCACAAACGTGGCCGCCTCGGCCCGCAGCCGGGAGCTGCGCAGCGGCGTGGCCGCGGCGCCGAGCGCCTCCGACGGCTGTCGGTCGCCCGTGGCGAGCTTAGTGCGCGGCGCTGCGCAGGCGGCGGCCATCTTTGCAGGCGCCGCGGGCGCGATGGTGGAAGCTTCGAGAATTGGCACCAGCACCAACAGATGGGGAAGATGATCCTAGATTTCGGCGTTGGTGGGTAATCTTTCGGCCACCCAGGATGCCCGGCTTGCACCACCATCACCCAAATCGGCATCATTTTCTTTCGGTGGAGCCACACCAATGATACTGGTGTGGGAACCAACCTCTAAGCCTCCGCGCGACGGAAGCAAGGAGAGGCACTGCGGCCTCGCTTCTGTAGCAAATTCTCTATCACCCGCGATTGCGCCCGTGAGCGGCCCCGCCCCCCCCCCCTGGTCACGTCACGATTCGCGCCAGCGCCGTGTGGGATTTAGAGATTCCTTAGGGCCTTCTCAAACGGCGCGGGCGCGAATCGTGACGTGACCGGCTTCTACCCCCCTCCCCCCGCCCTGTGTCACGCCCGTCATCGCTAGAAGATTAAAACAAATACCCTGTGACGCACCCAACCCACCCGCAGTAAGTGACAAGAGGAGCTGGTCCACTGTAGTATGGAATAGAAAGCTGATAACAACACGGGGTGCACCATTAGATGTGCGCGCTGCATGGGAAGTCCGCGTTGCGCGACTCACAGAACAGCGACAGAAGGACGAGGACTGAGGCCCCAGGCTCCAAGAGGAAATGGGAGCGGGAAGGAGGGGGTAAACGACGCAAGAGGGGCCGAAAAGTTAGCGCGACAGTAGCAGTGAGACGGTGGAAGGAAGAAGAGGACCACAACAAAAGAGGCAGGATGAGGAAGGAGGGCGGCGAACACTTCCCAGTGGCACGCTAAACGAATAGTGCGGCCCGCGCCATGTCGACCTGGCGCTCCACAAGACCAGCTGTTCATAGCGAGTGTAAGAAGCGAGCGAGGCCGAGCTCGCCCACCAGGTTCCCCGCTTCCTTCAGGCACCCCGCAGCGCGGGAGCCCGCAGGCGCGCCGCCAGGTCTCTGGGCGGCCCGCTGGAAAAGGAAATCAAGACGCATCAAGGAATCTTCGCTTTCCTGAGAACAGCCATGGACAATTTCACGGCAAGAACTGCTCCGAAGCCGCTCCGCAGGCACACCGCGGGCACACCTTCCAGCACAACGGGCACAGAAGCGTAGCGACACGCATGAACACGTGAAAGCTCTTGCGTTATGTATGCGATACGTCTGCATGTTTGTTGGTGTGCTGGCGGGGCTTGTTACAAGCCCCGCCAGCACACCAACAAACATGCAGACGTCTCGTACAAATCAAATAAGTGGTTCCACGTGTTTGTGCGTGTGGGTGCGCTTCTGTGCCCGATGTGCTGGCGGTGTGCCGTGGTGTGCCTGCGGCGCGGCGCACGCGAGCGTGCATTTCAGTGGCGACGTCCTGGCCAAATCCTCTGTTCTGCAACACGGCACGAAAACGCTAAACTCAGGCGGATCAATGTGGTCCCCAGCGTCAATCTCCAGAAGATACAAAAAAACATGTTTTGCAAAATTTGCCAGCGCTTCCCCCCCCCCCTTTAGGGGAACACGAATTTTAAAGCACGTCTCCCCCCCCCTGGTTTGCATACTGTTTTCGACTCCCCCATTCAACTCCCATCCAAAAGATTCTGCCCTAGGGCCTTTCCTCCTCCTCCTCCTCCTCCTCCTCCTCCCCCTCCTCTTCCTATTCCTCTCGTTGGCCTCTCGGACTGTACTCCGACTTATCAAAACTGAGCTCCGGCATTTCAGGGTGGTCCCTAGCATCAGTCTCCATAAAAGCGTCAAAAGATCACTTGCTTGAAAAATTGGCAGCGCTTCCCCTTCGAGAACACGAATGTAAAAAAGGAGCGTGCCCTCCCATATTTGCACATCATCTTCAAGCTTCCCCTTCAAGTCCCTTATCCTTCATCATCCACGAGATTACTCCTCAGGGCCAATCCTCTTCCTCATCGTCCTCCTCTCGCTCTTTCTATCGTTGTCTGTCTCATGTCTCAACAAAAAAGCTTGCAAAGAAGTGAACTCAGGAAATTCATAATGGTCTCCAGCGTCAACCCCCAGACGATGCAACAAACAATGTTTCAAGATGCTTTACGGCGTCCCCCCTTTCAGGAACCCGAATTTAAATGGCACGCGCAACCCCAGAATTGCAAATCGGATTAAACATCCCCGTTCAAATTCTCTCTCGAACATCATCCAAGAGACTCCTCTCCAGGACCCTTCCTCCTCCTCCTCCTCCTCCTCCTCATCATCATCATCATCATCATCAGACTCGTCGTCGTCGTCGCATCATCATCATCATCATCATCATCATCATCATCATCATCATCATCATCATCATCAGCATCAGCATCATCATCATCATCATCATCATCATCATCATCATCATCATCATCATCATCATCTTCATCATCCTCTTGTTCCTCATCCTCTCGTTGTGTTCGTGGGATGTTTTCCAACTCATACAAAGCGCGGGGTATGTAGCGATATGACAGACGACCCCCTTCAACCCCTCCTCCTGGCCCATTGTCCTCCCCCCCGAAACCAAAAAAAAGCCAGCGTTCGATGTGCACGAGCGTTTTTCGATCGAGAGCGGCCTGGAAATACGGGTTGACACAACGCCACACAAAAAAAAACACTACGTCGACCAGGCGTGCCTTGATCAGTGAGCAATGGCCAGCCAGGCACAGCCTCACCTCACAAGATGCTCTCGGGGCGCGCCCAGCCGTGGCGACGAGGAGCACCCCGAGAGGAACGAAACCATGTATAAACCGTATAGAAGAAGGACAAAAAAACACAAACATAAACTCTAGGCGCTCCGTGCGGATCTCTGAGATCTGCGCTGGACCCCCCCTCCCTGGCGCGCGGAGCGCGCCAGAGGCGGCGCCGGAGGCGCCGCGAGGGGGCCCAGCGCAGATCCAAGAAATCCGCGTGGAGCGCTGAAAGTTTATGTTTATGGCGTTTTTCTTCTTCGAACGTATGCGCCCGACTCCGCCCCCTCCTCTTGCCGATTGCGGGTTCGACGTACCCGCCAAGCTCCCAGGAGCGCTGGGAGAAGGGAGACGAGGACGAGAGAGGAGTGCGAAGACGGGGAGAAATAGAGGAGCGAGGGGGATGCAGGGTGGAGGAGGGGGAGAAGAAGTGGACGAGCCGGAGGAGGGCGAGGAAGACGCACCTGATAGTGACGAGGGTGACGATAACATAGCTGATGGATGGCGATGATGCTTGGTGAGGGTGATGGCTAACCTTCTTAGGAAACGCAGCACAGTAATTTAAACAGACCAAACACAGCGGGCACACCAAGAACGCCAAGCACGCCAGGCACACCAAGCACACAGAAAAGCAATTGCACCATTTCGCGAGCGCGTCGTGTTGCAAACAACACAAGATCCCGATGCCCGCACAACGCGATTCCGCGATTTGGGGAACCGACCTGGGACGCCCCATCTGGCCATCTCTGGCCGTCTGAGGCTAACGCGACTCCCAATTACTGTGCATCAATCCACGCACGCCATCGCACACCCTCCCCGCATCTCGCCGCGCATTGCGCGGGCATCGATATTTTCCCCGACGCGCGGCGCACGGCGTATCACAACCCGCGCGGCAAATAAGCAAAATTGCGAAACGTGTTATTTTTGATGTCCTCCTTTTTTGGTTCGTCAATTGTTCCCAACCAGTGAAACGGTGTGGTTCCCCTGCTTTGCGGCGCCCTGCCCTCTCTGGAGGTGACCCGCTGGTGGTGGTGGCCTTGCCTCTCCTTCCTCCGACGCAAGGGGAGGGGCCCGAAAGAGAGGTCCCTGGACGGGGTGCCCGACTCGAACCGCAAGCTTGAGCCAAAGTCGCTACGGAGAGTTTTAGAATGCGCTCTGGAAGCGAACACAGACGGGCCGACAGCAGATAGTAGGACCGGGCGCCTGTACTCTCTCACGGTGCGCTAACCAGAAGTTCTAGGGGAATCCAGCAGTGGCGACAAGAAGCTCCCCGGTGCCAACAAAACATCGAAAAGCGTTACAACCAGAAAACATGGATCCTCGAGCCTCGATCCTCCCCCTCCACCGAGCCGCCTGGCGCTGCGGCGCTGACGCTGCCACCCAGCCTCTCCTCGATCATCCTCCTCCTCGCTTCCTCCTCCTTCGCTTCCTCCTCCGCCTCCTCCTCCTCCTCCTCCTCCTCCTCCTCCTCCTCCTCCTCCTCCTCCCCCCCTTCCCCTCCTCCTCCTCCTCCTCCTCCACCTCCTCCTCCTCCTCTCTCCTCCTCCTCCTCCTCCTCCTCCCCTCCCCCCCCCTCCCCCTCCCCTCCCCTCCCCCTCCCCCTCCCCCTCCCCCTCCTCCTCCCCCTCCTCCCCCCCCCTCCTCCTCCTCCTGCCTGAGCCCCCGCCAGGCCGTCTGTCGCTCCAGAGCGGCGCTGACGTTGCCGTCCAGCCTCTCCAGGTCGCGCAACGCCGTCTGGACCCTCAGCGCGAGCCAGTGGCCCGGAGGCAGCGAGCCCAGCGCCTCGCGCGCGGGCGGGCGCGGCGTGCCGCCGTGGTCGCCGCCGCCGCCGCCTCTGCCTTCGCCGCCGCCACCGACGTCGACGTCGACGTCGCCACCGCTGCCGCCGTCTTCACCGTCGCCGACGTAGCCGATACCATCCCATTTCGGTCGTCGCCGGCGCTATTGCCGTGCTCGCCGGCGCCACTGGCCACGAACATCAGCAGGCCACCTGCATCGCGATCGCCGCGGCCTCCGCCCCCTCCCGTCACGCCACGCACTCGCTGCCGCCGTGCAGGTTCTGCCTCTCCCCAGCCCCGCCTGGCGCGAGCACTGCGGCCTTGCAGAGAGGATGGAAGAGGAGAAGAAAGAAGGAGGAGGAGGAGAGAAAGGAGGGACAGGAGGAGGAAAACGGAGGGGGGAGGAAGCAGGGGGGAGGAAGCAGGGGGGAGGTGGGGAGGGAGAGAGGGAGGAGGTGACGGGGGAGAGAGGAGCGAGGAGAGCGGAGGAAGTGGGGAGAGCAGAGACGAGAGAGGAGAGGAAAACTAATCTCGCTCGCGCCAGAT